TCCAGTTTTGCACATCCACGTAGACTGTCAGCCTGCTCGTCCTTCCTCCCCGAGCAACCTCAACCAAGACCACCCTTAACTGGGGACACCTGCCTGTGTCTCCGTCCCCTAAAACAGCCCAAGCCCACCTTCTCTGGGCTGCCCTGCTCCTGTGGCCCCATTCCCTCCTGTTCTCAACGACCCGTCCCTCCTTCTCACTCTATTTGCCTCTCCTCGTGTGAGAACTTCTCTTCCTCACACATGTCAAGCTTCTCTCTTTTTAAAAAAATATATTTTTGATTTTTTTTTACGAGAGAGAGGGAGGGAGAGATAGAAACACTGATGTGAGAGAGAAACAGTGATTGGCCACCTCCTGCACGCCCCTCACTGGGGATCAAGCCCACTACCTGGGCATATGCCCCCATCGGGACCCGAACCGGGTCCTCTCAGTGCAGGGGTCGACACTCACTCCCCTGAGCCACCCCGGCTGGGCTCAAGCGGCTCCACGTGGCTATCATGGAGAACGGACACAGCTTTTCACTGGTTGAATCGGTGGAACTGCCTGATCCGCCTTTAGAAGACAGAAGTGCTGCGCATCAGCGGTCCCCGGGGCTCTGTGACGCTGAGCTTCTGCCCGCGCCCTGCCCGCGAGGCGCACCCCACGACGGCTGCTGAGCCCGCGCCCTGGGCCGCTGAGAAAACAGACTGTTATTTAACTTAATTTTAACCAATTAAAAATTAAACTGGAAAAGCCACACGTGACTAGTGGTTACCTTATTCACACAACTCTACCCTGCTCTTCCCTAAAAAAGGACGGAGAACGGTAGCTTTCCCTGGTTTGTCTAGAGCCAGTCCTGACAAGGACGTGGAACGTTGTACTTTATAAATACACAATTCTTGGGTAGTTACTGAATATTTCATCGCATGTGGTTCAAAGGCTACCTGCATCAACCTCCTCTGGGTTCTTTAAAATGCAGATTCATGGAGCCCAGGAACATGAATTTTTTAAAATCCCCAGGGTTTGGGCCCACAGCTCTGCTGCATGTTCAGCACCAATGCAGCGTATTCTGTTTGTTTTTTTAAAAAATCTTTACCTTATTTAAGCACAATTCTTTATTTTTTTCCCCTTTATTGATTTTAGAGAGAAAGGAAGGGAGAGGGAGAGAGAGAGAGAGACATCGATGAAAGAGAACATCGATTGGCTGCCTCCAGCATGCCCCCCACTGGGGATTAGACCCATGTTCCGGGCATGTGTCCTTGCCAGGAATCGAACCGGCGACCTCCTGGTGCAGGGGTCGACGCTCAACCACTGAGCCACATTGACCGGACTAGGCAAAATTCTTAAGCAATGTATGCATTTTACTCTGTTTACCTGAAAGACTACTTTTGGTTAATTATTGCTAGATGACGGAGTCAAGCCTAACACTTTTTTTCACTGTCATATAATAACTGAATGTTGATTAGCAAAGATAACGCCCAGTGCGGCAAGGATAAGGTCACCAAAATCTGCAGGCAGTTAACTGCTTACACTTGAACGAAATACAATTTTTTCATGCACTAGACAGCTGTATATTCATTACAAATTTAATAGGCTCTGAAGACCAGCTGATTCATTGAAAAGAGATATACCATAATGAGCATAAATCATTTCAGAAGAAAGTATAAAATATCTGTCTTAAAGATTAGAAGCCATTCTTATTTCTTGTATTCAGCAAAAACAGAAGTAGACAGAGCGACTGAGCACTTCCGGTCTGTTTAGAGTAGCTGGAAAATTGAGCTTGACACAGGGCTGTCTGGTATCACTGTATGCAAATATAAGTGACACTGATGGATGTGGTATTCAACGGGGCTTCTCTTTTCCTTGGGGAAATTTTCTATGCACGTTTAAGGCTCCCTCAGACGTTAAGAGGACCTTACCCTGCTATGTTAATATAAAGAATGGGGGCAATCTATGAAATCTTTGAGTCTGTTACTATCTTTAGAGGATAACAAAATGTAGGAATCACAGTGTTTTGGTCATCCAGTGGCACCTCTCCATGTCTAACAGAGGTGTGAGTGGTTTTTCTTTTCCTTTTATTTGTTCACAGGACTCTGAAGCCAAAATCACTTTCTGCTACAAAGAAAATACTGCTTCTCATTACCCAGCTTATGCAAATCCACTACTATTAACTAAATAATGAAATGACCTCAGCAGGCAAGTATAGAAACAGTCTGGCACCGAGGTATCAGGAAAAAATTAGGACCTGAAACACTCCTGCCTGTCAGTCCTCCATCATTTCAAAACCAGAAGGGATACAATGCATTTCCCTCCAGCTAACTCCCAAGAACAGTATGAAATGCTAACCTTCGCCTAGTCTTAGCCTCTCCCTCTCCTTCCCATTCTTTCTGGGCTTTACAAAGAACTGGGACATTTGAAGAAAATTTAAGATGCTACATCCTGCTGTAAACAATTCATTCATAAACAACAAAATTAAAATCTAGACTATTCCATGTTTTTCTCTATGAATACCTATATCTATGTAGACCTTTTGCTCTATATGTCTACAATTTGATAGTCAACCATTGGTCAGAATAAGTTCCACTGTACAAGATATATTAGGACAATATATAGGCTATGTGTGTCTGTGTATGTGTATACAAATATATATATATTTTATCTCTCTCTCTATATATATTTATCTCTAAGATGGCCCCATTTGATTAAAATTAAGAACCTACAAAGGGGAGAAATTAAAATGATTTCTTTTTCTGATGACAAAAAAACTCTTAGAATCCAGCCTCCATACAGCTTTTCTCAGAAAAGAGAAAAGTTAGATGTTTTCTCAATATAATGTTGAATCAAGCTGAGGTATTTAGATTTGGAAGAAAAACAGTAACAAGCTTTACAAGTTGATATAAAAAGACAAAACTCATAGAGAAAATACTGTATTATCATCAAATAATTCTAGAGGAAGACGTCCACCATGCAGATATAACCTTAAATTAGTTTTAAAAATGTAATAAAAGCCCTGGCCAGTTTGCTAAGTGGTTAGAGCACTGGCCTGCGGTCCAGAGAGACCTGGGTTCGGTTCCCACTAAGGGCACTTTGTTCGGTTGCAGTTTGTCCCCGGCCCTGGTTGGTCGTGCGGGTGGCAGCCACTCGATGTGTCCCTTTCACATCGATGTTTCTCTCTCTCCCTCCCACTCTATCTGAACAAAAAGTGAAAAAATGTCCTCAGGTGAGGATAAAAAAAAAAAATGTAATGAAAAGGCCCAGCCGGTGTGGTTCAGTGGTTGAGCATTGACTCATGCATCAAGAGGTCGCTGGTTCAATTCCTGGTCAGGGCACATGCCCAGGTTGTGGGCCTGATCCCAGTGGGGGGCATGCCGGAGGTGGCCAACCAATGTTCTCTCTCATCGATGTTTCTCTCTCTCTCTCCCTCTTGCTTCCTCTCTCTCTAGAAATCAATAAAGAAAAAAAATGTAATGCAAATAAATACATTTTAAAAAGGCTTTCAAATACTGATGATTACAGTTCTGAGCACCTTTTAAAGTCTCTTTTCAATTAATTTTTGAGTCCTTACAAGGTATGCATCAGTTCCATGAGTTTGATTTGATTTTAGCAGGAGCAGCTGACCTCATCACATATCTTCTAACAGCTCGGACTGACCAGGCTCAGGTCAGAGGCATCTCAAAAGAGCAGAGAAGAAACACAGCCTTTCTGGCAGGTGTGAGGTGATATGTTATAGTCATTTTAATCCGATGATTAGAGATGCTGAGCATTTTTTTATGTGTCTCTTGGCCATTTGTATGTCCTGTCTGGAGAGGTGTCTATTCAGGTCCTCTGCCCATTTTTTAATTGGACTGTTTGTCTTCCTTTTGTTGAGTTGTATGAGTACTCTACACATTTTGGACATTACACTTGGAGTATATCCTAAGAAGCCTGAAACACCAATCAAGAAGAACATATGCGCCCTTTGTTCACAACAGTACTATTTACAATTTGCTCTCTTTGCCTGGCTGACAATTCAGCCCGTTAACCTCCTTCAGACTAAGAGACAGGAACGAAGAGGAGCTGCCGCAATGCTGGACACACCGCCCGATTCACTCCGACACCGCGTTACTCAACACCCGCGCGAGCAAGGGGCAAATATGGACAAGCAAATAAAAAGCATTCCCCACAAAAAAAGTTGGTTCTCTAGTTGCTTGAGAGGGTTATGTGACATTGACCAAAAAGGTATATACACAGGGGCACAAAACTCCAAAACCCAGACATTTCCACCCGGCATTAAGAGGGCCTTTTCAGAAGTTGCTGTCTTATGCCTGTTTCTGTGAAGCATGTGTGGTGACAGGGACAGGCTGACTTGCTTAGAGATGGTCTTGTCTAGATTATGCATCCTCTCTGCAGAATAGTAGAGGTCACAGTGCCATACAGGCAAAAAGGAAAGCTTCATCATGACAAGGTCTGCACTAGGGGCTTGGCAGGTGTCAGAAGCGGGTGAAGTGACCCACAGGGCAGCTGAGCGAAGCCAGGGAGCATGTCCTTTCCAAGTGGGGCAGCGACCATTCAGTCCCACTCACCCTTCTGGCAGGATTGTGAGCATGGTACTGGCAGAGTTGCTGATTTTCTAAGAAAAGCCAGAAACCCAGACTTCGTGTAAAATCTCCCCATTTTACAATGAGAACAACTAATTTAAAACATTGTGTGGATCAAATGAAGTGGGTCTGTGGCTTTAGATACAGGCCAAGGTCAACCTTTTTCTCACCTCGAGGAAGAATGTGTGAATAGTTAACATGATTTGCTTAGGACTGAATGGTTTGCTTCTGACTACAAAAACGAAGAACAATTTTGGTTAGGATCGAGAAGTACCTGGAAATCTGCAAATGACTGACTGTATTCTGCCTCGGCAGACTCGGTGATGAATGCCACAGTGAACACAAGAGACTTGTAACATGGGGAAGAATGAATCTGAAATATTTCCTGAAAAAGATCTATTTGATACTAGTCAATATCACTTTCCGAGTAAAGTGGGTCATCTTACCTGTGCTCTCTTGAGGATGCTGTGCTCGTCAGTGCTTGCTGTTTGATAGACTTTTGCCATAACTATTGTTTTTCCCAAAGGCCCGCATGCTTTCTCCAGATTCTGGTTGCAATCTTACATTTGGGATGGTAAAAATAGAAGACACTGTGGACAGAATGAAAAGTTATCAATTATATGTTTATCGATGTATTTATAATCTCTTTTTAAAAATGGATACTGAGATGCAATTCTGGACGGCCAGCACATGGAACACCATTACATGTATTGGTCTTTGAAAGTCAAGTCACCATAGCCACACACACGACAGGAGAGGCTGTCTTGCCCTCAGAATCATGGCTCAGGTGGTGAAAACAATAATGCCTTTTCTTTGTGCCATACTTTCATTCATTCATTGAAGGAACACTTACTGAGCCCCACGCTGTTCTAGGACTTTGGGATCCTGCAGTGCATCAATCAGAATGAAAAGAAATCCCTGTTCTTATAGATTCCATTTGGGGGAGGCAGATGAAGATAATCCAACAAATATAAAATATCAACTGGTAGCCCTGGCTGGTTTGGCTCAGTGGTTGGAGCACTGGCCTGTGGACCAGAGAGTCCTGGGTTTGGTTCCCACTAGGGGCACGTACCAAAAAAAAAAAATCAACTGGTAGTAGTAAGTGTCATGATGAAAAACAAATCAAAGAAGAGAAGCTGGAAATTTTGGGATGGAAGTAGCTACATCTGAGCAGAGACCCAAAGGAGGTGAGGGGTCAAACCAGGCCTATCTAGAGGAAGAGGAAATACACTTGTAGAAAGAGGAGATAGCAACAGCTGACTTGTAGGAGGCAAGAAGAGAAGCAGAAGGCTATTGTAGAAATACAGGTGACAAGTGGATAAAAAAGCTGTGGTACATATATACAAAGAAATATTACTCAGCCATAAAAAAGAATGAAACCTACCATTTGCGACAGCATGGATGGACCTAGAGGGTATTATGCTCAGTGAAATAAGTCAGTCAAAGATAAATATCATATGATTTCACTTATATGTGGAATCTAAAGAACAATATAAATGAATAAACAAAACAGAAAGAGACTCCTAGATACAGAGAACAGAAGATAGTTGCCAGTCTGCCTTCCCCAGATCCTGAGGGAGTGGGTGGAAAGGTGAAGGGATTGAGAAGATTGGTAGCCACCAAACAGTCACAGGGATGTAACGTACAGCATAGGAAATAGAGTCAATAACATTATACCGGGGGAATACTTTGTATACGATTGTCTAACCATGATGTTGTACACGTGAAACTATTACAAAATAATATTGAAAGTAAAATAAACAACAGGTGAATGAAGTGAGTGACTTGGAGCACAGTGACAGCAGTGGAGAAGTGAGAAGAGGTGACAAAAGACGGCGTCAGAGAGAACCCTCATCACCTGGAAGAACAATGTTGCCATTCATTGACGAGGGGAAGACGACAGAAGGAGCAAGTCTGGGGATGAAGATCAGGCGTTCAGTTTTGGTAACACCGAGTTTGAGACGCCTCCTACGTGACCAAATGAAGAATCTGAGTAGTCAGTCGGATATGCAGTCAGGGGGGATGGGACTGGAGATATAAATTTGGAAGCTGTCAATGTGTGAATAATATTTAAATCACGAGATTGGATGAGATCACCTGGCTCTAAGGAGTGAATATAGATAGAAAGATGTGAGGGTTAAGCCCCAGGACACTCCAACGGTGAGAGGTCTGGCAGATGAGAAGAAATCCACAGGAGACCCAAAAGTAGAGGCAAAAGGAAAACAGGGGAAGAGCCCTGTCCTAGAACCCAAGCGAAGGAACTGTTACTAAGAGGAGATGGTCGACTGTGTTAAATTTTGTGGATGGTCAAGACAAGGCCTGGGGAGGGATCAATGGCGAGAGACTGAAAACAGTGGTTTTGGAGTCTTGGGTACAAAGGCCTGGTTCAAAAGAATTCGCAAGGGAATGAAACCAAGAAATTCAAGACAGCAAATATATTTTAAATGGGTGTGCTTGTTTTATATTTTAAAAGATGACATGGAGCGACACTGGCGACATGATGTTGTTTAGGATAATGTATAGGACATATTTAGGAACATGGAAGAAAACTTACAAACGTTATAGCTGGAGAGTCTGTAGGGAACACTGTTTCTCTAAAGGAAAAATCAGAAGCGCACAGAGAATAAGGTTATTTGGCCACAGTTGCCTGGCTACTGAAGCTGGGGCTGAAGCTAGAATCCAGGTGGTCTGAGTCCCAGCTCAGGGCTCTTCACACTGCATCAATTTGTTGGCCTTCTTTTACTGCAGTTCTGAGTTTTGTGAATTAGCAAATGAATGGAATAAAATCAAGGCCTCTGTGCTATGAAGTGTATTTTGTTCATTTACTTTGACAAGGGTAGTTCAGCTTCAATAATTTATGTAACTTGATAGTATACACAGGAGAATGCCCGATGGTGTATTTGGGAAAAGTAATGAATTTCTTTTAAATCAGCCTTTCATTTACTTCCCTGCAATTAAATCCTGGTGAAGAAGTGGGGCAAGGCTGTTGGGGTTTCAGGACAGAGGATGACAAGGTGCACCAGAATTAGCCAGCTCGAACCCTAGGTCCCCAGGTAACTACCATTATTCCTGTTTAATCAATCTGTAATCCCTGCCTCACTGGCACACTAATACATTACTTCTAAACTTTGGTATTATGTAAGCTGGTGAGGTGTTAAGGACTAGTAGAAAAAGATACTCTATTGCTATATGTTCTTCCAAAGCTAATGAGAGTCTGGCATATGCACATACTTCATTTTTATATAATCCATGAAATGGCAGTGCCCTATGTCACCAACACCCTGCCCACATGTGAGAGTCTTCTCTCAGGGTCTGACATAGACTAAAGTGGCCAAGAAAGCTCGAGCCCACTTTGAACTTATTTTTTTCCACTCTTTTCCCTTTCGTCTGGTTTCATTTTCTGCTTGCGTAAATGTCTTCCTTTTGTGGACATTGCTTTTAAAAATGCTGTGAGCTGTCTTTAAGAACGGGAGTGCTCTGGACCGAACTGTGTCTTCCCAGATTCGTTATGGCGCAGCCTTAACTCCAGGTGTGATGGTATTTGGAGATGGGGCTCTAAGTAATAATTAGGGCTGGATGAGGTCATGAGGGTGGGGCGCTCATGATGAGTGGCTTTTTAAGAAGAGGAAGAGAGAAGAGGTCACTCTCTGTCATGTGAGGATATAGCAAGGTGGCTGTCCAGGAGGCAGGAAGAGGCTCACACCAGGAACCCAATTTGCCAGCACTTTGATCTCGAACTTCCCAGGCCCAAGAACTGGGAGGAACAGTTTGCCGTTTAAGCACCTGCTCCCCCTTTATGTATTTTGTTATAGCAGCCTGAACAGACAATGCATTGAGATTCCTGGAATTGATGAATCTAAACCATGACCTAGGACAATTCATATACTGGTTCTGCAACACGTCTTCCCAGGTAGACCTCCTACCGAATCCCCTTGAAAAGGAAGCACAGGAGGGTATTGCCACCTCTACTGCCATTTTCCAGCTGGCCAACTTTTACAAGGCTCCACACTGATGTAAAATGGAATGTTAAGAATGTCTAAATATAGTCTGCAGAGTGTTAACCTAGGTAACAGTCACCAAAACTAGTCACTTCACCTAGAAGAACTAGTTCCCAAAGTCTCCAAATTCTTTGTTTTGTAAACATGTTTACAAGGACTACCACGTTGTTCAAAATGGAAATGACTATGGTATTAAATACTGGGCTTGTCCTTTCTTGAGTCTAGATTTAGGCTTCATAATGATTATCTACTAGACACAGAAATAGCATTTCTGTAACTCAAAATTGTTACCAGAGGCATTTAGCAGAATCTTGCTTTAAAAAAAAAAAAAGATTTTTCATCTTTATTCTCCTCCCTTCAAAAGGTTTCACTCCTCCTGATGTTGAACGTTATGCAAAGACGTGTTTCCGCCAATGAATACCACCTTATGGTTATGCTTCTGCAAATAGCCTGCTGTGCGCTGATAAAGGGATTAATGCGGCCAAAATTCTTAATCTGTGAAATTACAAATTAAATTCTCATATTAAAAATACCACCCTGAGGTATTTTTTTGTGGTTTTAATTCCCCTCTGGTGTTCTGCATACATTGTGCTTGTTAATGACGCGGACGAGGCTGTCTCGCGTGGCCGCCTGCTGCCGAGTGATAATGTGTAGGCATTTACTTACTGATAGAAAATGGATTTAACCACTGGCTGATACACTAAGTGGCCAGTGGGTAATAAGTCCATATTAACAGAAAGTATGACTATAAAATTCGGAATTTATGGCCCACCAAAATCCTGACTTGAACTCAATCATCAAGTCAGATGGGATTGAGATGTCACCACGGACTCACATCAAGTTGCAAGTTATACCAGAAAGGAAAACAAACCATATGTTTGAGTTTGATGAGCCATAAACTAATAAGCCCATTTGCATCATTTCTTTTTTCAGTATAGAAGGATGTGTTACTGATTCATTAGTTTTCCACAGGGGTTTCATCTTTAATTTTTTTTAAATGGGGTAGCTGTTGTAATGGCCAGTGGGTAGACTTTTAGAAAGGAAGTAGGGCAGAATATAAAATAAATATGTAATGTTAAAGAAAAATTTACAAAGCATAGGGGGAGTAGTGGATTATATATTTATAGTCACTTTTGGGTAAAAAAAAGTAATTCAAATTAATTGTGGGATTATAAAAAATACTTTAGGGTAGAAATAACCAAGAGCAGTTGTTACTTATGACTTAGCTCCAAAATGAAAGGATTATTGTTGTCAGGAGAATCTAATACAATGAGGGGAAAGTCTAAAGTCTAAAAGATTAAATAAATAACTATACATGTCCATGGTAAGTGATGTATACCCAAGGATTAATAAGCATATTATAAATATCTATGCATATATATGTAATATATTCATTTTAAGGCAATCAGAATGAGAATGAGGAGAAATACCTCTAATGGCATGTGGAAAGAATCACCATTACACAAAAATGTTCTTACTGCAATAGTGTTTTGTGAAATTTCACAAGAATTCTGCTTCACACTTTGGAAGAAAGATGAGATCCTCCCAGCTATAAATCCTCCCCCAAATATTTAAAATGTAATTGAAAGAGGCTGTGTAAATATGAACACTTTTTTGTAAAAACAAAACAAAAACCCACCCAGCAATGTGTTTTGTTTTAAGAGATCTAGAGAAGATCTGTCTGTATTAATACCAAGAGCATTTGTAGTTATGAGTTATGTCTTTATTTCTTACATGTCAATTCAGTGCATTAGCCAACTGCCAACTCTATTCGTCAGCTCAATGCATAACAGCCCTTTTTAAGGTTATTGTTACAACCAAGATGGTCTCTGAGAATCAAACAGAAATGAATAATTTCTCCTCTGTACTGCAGCCAGTTAAAAAGTACTGTATGCATAAATATGTAAATCATATTTTCCTTTTCCTTCATGACTGCTCAGATCATTTTTTTGGACACACACATAATCAAATACAAAGACATGCAGCTGCAAACTGCAGAGCAGAGATAGCAAAAAAGGAATCCATTTTCTTCCTGTGTTTGGTGAGCTGGCGTTTGAATGGCAGGATTCGACTAAATATACACACACACAACCCCCTTCCCCTGTGTTTTCTTTCTCTCTCTCTCTCTCTCCCCCTACACACACACACACACACACACACACACACACACACACACAATCTATATGTAAATATATATGTATATACACACAAACACATAATATATACTCAAGCACATAATCTTACACATGCACATGTAAACATGAATCTCTCTACAGGTACATTACGCACAGATGCTAAAATGATGCCCCTGCTTTGACTGGATGTTGTGGATGTGTTCTACTCACTGTCAGTCAGTTCCCATAGCCGTGGGGGCAGGTCACTAAAATACTCGTGGCTCAAGGCAGCCTGTGCAGAGAGTCGGTTCTTTGGGGAACATTGTAGGAGCTTGGAGGCCAGATCTTCTGCATGATTCACATAGCTGAGCCTGAAAACATAAGCACAAAGGAAAGAAATCAGACTAAACATGACAAGTCACTAAATAAGACATAAGGCTCACCCAAATTTTCTGGACTTATTTATTCCTGGCCAAAAAAACAAGTTCAATTACCTGCTGAAAATACACAGAAGCTGAATTCACATCGTTCTTCGAGTATCTGTTACCCTAAACTGGTTTTTACTCTTGTAATCTTAGTCTCATTGATTTAAAATACTCCTACTATAGCCCTGGCCAGTTTGGCTCAGCGGCCTGCGGACCAGAGAGTCCTGGGTTCGGTTCCTGCTAGGTATAAAAAAAAAATAATAATAATAATAAATTCCTACTATAAGCAAAGGGTTGGGTTGATACCCGGAGACTAGAATTAGGCCCAGAGGTAGAAAATTCCAGACGATAATTTATGAAATGGTTGCCAGAATTTGTTCATAGGATTGATGTGCTGCATACACATCTGGATACATTTATAGGAAAATTAATACAAAATAACCAGGAGAATTAAAATAAAACTGCTATTAAATTCTCTAGTTACTAATGTTACTTATTCTCTAAGAATTCACATTTTCTTATATTGAATATAAAATTTTTGGAATGAGTACACTGTCTAATGTCAACAATCAAAATATTAACATGCAGGTTAACAAAGGGGATATGTTTAAACCACATGGGGCTGAATCAATTCGAGATGAACTTTAGAACAACAGTAGATAGAAAATATGTGTCTCAAGATTACCAAAAAAAAAAAAAAAACACACACAAAAAAACCCCCCAAAACCCATAGAAGTAAAGTCTTCCATGTGGTACAGTTTTCAAATGGGTAGCAAACCACACAGCCCAGACCAGCCTTGCTTTGCATGGACTCTATTTCATTGCTCAGTACAATCAAGCCAGGTTTATTAACATAATAATATTAATACAGATAGTCTTAATAATGGCTGGCTCCCATGTACGGATAGTTGGACATGTGTCAAGCTCTCATTTATGATAATCCGACAAGGCAATGCTGTTCCCCTCTAACAACAGGGGAAGCCAAGTGGAAGTCTGAGAAGGTAGCGTGTTGCTCAATTAGAAGGTTGAGTGGATTCAAACCTATACGGAATCACAACCCTAAAATGGTTACAGGGAGGTAACATGCAGCACAGGGAATACAGTCAATAATACTGAAATAACGATGTATGGTGCGAGGTGGGTGCTAGACTCCCCGGGGGATCACTTTCTAAGTTATATAGATGTCTAACCACTATGATGAACAACTAAAGCTAGTAAAATATTGAATGTCAACTATAATTGAAAAATAAAAAAACATGAAATACATAAAGTGGTTTGTATCGGCCGTGCTCTCGAATTGTTCCCAAAGGCTTTTGCCCTCGGATCCCTGTGTTTCTGCAGCAAGGTTCAATAAGTATAGACTCAGAGGCTGCCAGAAGACTGGGAAGAAAGTTGCACCTGCCAGTGGTTGTTTGTTCAAAAGCCCTTGAAGCCACTAAACACACAATTAGTCAATAAATACCTTTCCTGAATGACCAACAACTCTCCCCATTCCTCTCCTCAACAGCTTTTTAGTCTTGATTTACAATTGTTATGGGGGCAGGGAGGACTGGGCATGCAGAGAGAAAAGGAAACAATGAATTTGGGTAGAGGAAGAAAAAGGGAAAAGAGCAAAGGAAAATATTTTTCTAAAAATCCAATCTAAGAGATCTCTCTTACAGATGGCTCAGTGTTTGACAACTGCAATGGCTATTTTTTTTTTTTTAACTGATCAGTGGATTGGTGTTAAATATCTGCCTGGCAAAGAGAAACTTGTCCACAGGAAAAGGTGGTATTAGTCTATAGTTTTTCCTTTAAGAGGGGCCAAGGCCATCCAAATTGTTCCTTCCTCTTCCTAAGACACTCCCACTATTATAAACGTTTCATTAGTATTTTTAGAATATCAAATGCAAAGTTTGAGATATGTAAACTTTATGTTAAAGATTGCACTTATATTGCATGTCTGGTTTAGCTATAATCATGGTGAAAATCACACTGGTATCCATTTTATATGGCTTTGATAAAATAGAACAATGCCAGAATGAGACTAGATCTGAGTTTTAGTCCTGACTCTTATAAGAGTGATGTAACATGCTGTGTAGTCCCTACTGCTCCAGTAAGCCATGAATCACACCTGAAGCATGGTTTTACTACTTTGAAGACTTATAGTTGTAGTTGTATCTTTGTTTTTGCAATAGATTGCTGGTCACATTCAAATTTTGTACATATGTACCTAAATATAAGGAATTCACCAATATAAGACAATCTCATTTCTCATCTCCCAAGTTGAGTAAACTTTAATAATGTTGATGAAATAAACAAATGCTTATTTGTGGCATTCAGTTTACACACAAGTATATAAATTATATATAAAAATGTTTTATTTAGAAAGTTTGCTATCTCCTCACTTGCATTTCAAGAACCATGTTTATTCCAACTCTTCACATGCATTTTCAACAATCTTTGTCATTACCAGAACCTCTGAGTTCATCTAAGTTGTTTGAGATGACCCTTCTGGGACATCTTACAGTATTTGGAGTTTCATCCCAAGCCATCTCCTATTGTGATGGTAGATTTTAAAATGTTTTCTTGTGCCCTGGCCGGTTTGGCTCAGCGGTTAGAGTGTCGACCCACAGACCAATGAGTTGAGGGTTCGATTCCGGTCGAGGACACGTACCTCAGTTGTGGTTCACCCTGCCCTGGTTAGGGTCGTGCGGAGGGCGACTAGTTGATGGGTCTCTCTCACGTCGATGTTTCTCTCTCTCTCCCTCCCACTCTGTCTGAAGATAAATAGAAAAAAAATATATCCTCGGGTAAAGATTAAAAATTTTTTAAAAAGCGTTCTCTTGTAATTCCATCTATTTTTGTTTTATATATTCTAAAGCCAAGTAATTAAGTGCATAATAATCTAGCACTGTTATCTCTTCCTGGTAAACTAAGCCATCAACCCTTCTGTAGTGACCATTTTTATCTTTAATAAAACTTTCTGGGTTAAAGTTCATTCTTTTTCTCATATTAATTTAATAACTCAGTTTTTTGTTTTAAATTTAATTATTTGCCTGGCATACCTTTTGTAACCCTCTTACTTTAAATTTTTCATATCCATAATTTTAAGGCACCTCTTTCATAAATACTATATAGCTGGGTTTAATACTTATTCAATTAAATAATGCCCATATTCTAAGAAGAAAATATAGTTCATTTAAATTTTGCAATTACTGATATATTTAAATTACTGCTGCCATCTTAATCTTGCATTCTATTTTGACTAACTTTATTTTTTTTTAATTTTTCTGTCTCTTTTGTATTGAATTTTAAAATTCAACATTTCCATCTTCTGTTTTAGAAGCTATCCATCCTATTTTCATGTTTAGTAATTACTTTTCTTTTTTTGTATTTCAATATTTTAGATGTTTAAACTCTCACAATGAGCTTTACAAGCTGATGGACACTGAAAATTTATTGTTCCCAGAGAACTATAATCATACATCCAGACAGAATAATTATTTAAACATCAATACACAATTAACTTCAATAAGCAGCACCATTTTATCAATTACATAGGACAAACTGTTAAGTATACAAAATAAAATTACACAGTTCAACAGGAATATAAAATATTAGCTATATGTTCAATTCATTAGCAGACACTAAAGTCTGTTTTTTGGGGCATATTCCATACATCCTGCATAAGACAAGCAAAATATTTTCCTAAAAATCCTTTAATAGCTCTCTCCCATTCTTTTTTAGGTCCTCTCTTTTAAGTTGCACCCCAAAGTGCAAACATTAAATTAGTTTTCAGACATTTTGTCTAGAGACAGTAAAGATATGTGCTTCTGTACAATGTGGATTTTACATGAACTTTTCCACCAGAGGTTTGTGATTTTTAAAAAATGGAGGTTTTCATAACTGTGCAAAATGAGATTTATAGAAAGACATTAAAAAATCATCATAAACTTGGTCAAAAGCCAACAAAATCAGCAGTTACACAAACCTGATGTCTACTGTTTTAAATATGGGAGCTATAAACATAAAGTAGCCGGCAAATAGCCATAGAAACCCTACTGCCGATATTTGAAATGAATGAAGGGATAAACCACAGGCGGTCTACACTGGTTTTCCTAGTTCCTGGGATTTTAATTCTGCATGATATTAAAAACATATAAGTATTGTGCTGGGTATTTCAGCACCCAGTCTCTAAATTTCTTACCTTTTGATAAGATTCTGGCATGGAAACAGATTTGAAAAAGATATAACTCAATACTGCATGGTTTCAGGAAAGGTCAGTCGATAAAAATGATAAGCACGTTTTAAATGCTGAACAGTAAGAATCTTTTGCTAAGTTTCCAACGAGGCTGATAATAATCCAAACGCAGAGGCTGAAATTCTGCCAAGCTTGAGCCTGATAAAAAGGCTTATCAATGCTCCCATGAAAGCTTCGTTGACTTACCCTTCACCAGCGTTTTGGCTCATAGTGATGAGAAACTGGGTGCTGTCTGAAGTTCCATTTCCAAGGCAATAGCAGCCAGCAGCCCAGTTTCATCGACTGGAATGGTAATTCCTACGACTACTGGTATCTATGAAGTGTAGCTGGATATTAGGACAATACATCTCCAAATATAGAAGCTGCTTGTTTTAAAATCTCCACTCTACTTTTGTCTTATGAACAGACCACATGTTCATATTTCATTCCACCTTCAATTAGCACTAGAGCAGCAAGCATTAGGACTCTCCCAAGACCTAGCGCACAAAGACAACAATACAACCACCAAGTTCTTCAAGAAATTTCACTTTTACAAGACATAACCAGTCATCAGTAGTCTGGTCAGAAGGCAGTACACCATCAGATGGCCGGTCCAGAACCAGACACCTTCTTTCTCCACAAGATCAGTGTTGTAAATTGCTTCACATAGTCTTACTGTTGTAGTAATAGGAAGTGCCGCACAGTTTAAGTGCCTCTATAAATT